CTGCTTTTCTCTGGGGAATGAGCTGAGCATTCGTATTGTTTCTTTCCCTCAAAAAGCACAAAATGACCCCCTTGGGCACAGCGGGAGTCAAATGCCCATGTTTGTTAGCAGCGTACAACAGCATGAGGCCAAGCTGTACATATGTGCAGCTATATTGGCTTTTGAATGGAGAATATAATAAAGCTGATGGGGAGGCAGAAGAGACTAGTTGAAGGGACATCACCCCATTACTCTAGACTTCAAGTGACTTATCAAAATCAAGTGCAATCATGTGAGCATAGTGTGTGTGAATTCACATTATGCAGACATAGAAATACATCAGCTACACAAATGATCTTATAAGTCTCTGTAACTGCTAGGAAAGTGTCTGGATGACAAAGCCCCTCACATGTGTCTGAGTTTTGCCCAGGGGACCACAGACTGACTAATGAACTTGTCAGTAAGGCTGGCAGTGCTTTACAATTACAGCAGAGTGAGAGTTCCTATCCAGAATGCTGTAATGAGCATATTTTGTGTTGGGTGTGTGCTTGGCATAATACCTGCACGGATTGCTCCTTTTATTTCCATGCCCTTTGCAGCCCTTTCTATTGATCAAAAATCTTGTATCTATAAAAGTACCCAGCAGTCAGGCCCTATTAGATTTTTTCTCTTGCAAAATAATTCTATAGATGAAGACAGTTCAGGCTGCATTGGGGGTTGAAGGGTGTAGACCCTTCACCTTGCAAATTGTTTATCTGATGTTGGTTGCTGCATTTCAAATCAAATGTTGTGTTCTCAGTCTTTTCTGTAAGTTTTACACCATACTTCCCTCCCATGCCCAGGATAGACCGATGAATCTCCATCTCCAATATCCTCCTGCTATCTAGAAAATCATAATTTATTTTTCCACTTGTGAGACAAATCTCTATTTAGCAGCTGTTCCCTGAAAAAATCAACTGTTTTGTCAACAATTCAATGACAGAAGTCTTTTCTTGGGACCAAAGTCCTTGATTTAAACACTTTCAAAGACCTATTCTGAAGACAGTGGAGATTCTGTGGTACATAACTCATGTGGCCCATTTTTCTATGAGAGGGGCAAAGCAAAGCAAAATTAGTTTATTTGATACACATTATGAGAAAAAGTAGACTTTGTAAGGAAGCACTGCAGCTGGCAAGTATCTAGTCATTGCCATTCAACAGAGGCACCCTATGTTTTCAACACTCCTGTCCTGTGCTGACAGGTTCAAAGGTCCAGTGGCACCTTAATCATAGGAACCGGTGGGCAGCCACTGGTAGGGGAAGGCAGACGGCACTTCAGAGCCTGTCTCTGTTGAAGCTAGAATGAAGCCGAATCCCTGCTCAGAAAAGCTATTTATTCTGTGTTCATTATGGAACTGAATCACACAACTCTACCCCTGGGTCCCTGTTGTTGCCTGAAATCAGTGAGTCGCCAGGGGAAGTCCTGTCTCTCATGACAACTGCCATCTCAGTTGGCACACTGCAAATTGAAACAGAGAAACACTGCCCCTAAAAGCACAAGTTATCACAGCTTGTGTTGGTACATCAGCACCATGCAGGTCCGTGTCTGGGGAGGAGCTATGTGCTGTATAATTCCCCTCTGAGCCAGGGGTTGCAGGAATCTACAAGGAAATGTTTTATTTCACACAGTGTCAGGGAAGCTGGGAAAATAGTTGGGAAAAGGTCAGCTCTGAAAAAAAGCTTTTACAGTCTCAGCCTTGCATTTGAAGGAACTGCACAGTCTGAAGCACTGAATTGTCAGAAATTCATGTGTACTTTTAAAGGTGCTGGCTTTGTGGGAGACGTGTGTTCATTCGGCTGGTCACTGCACAGCCTGCAGCATGTTTGAACTCCTGGTCTGAAGTGTCCTGCAGATACCTGGATAGAAGGACTGCACTGAAAAACGTCAGTCCTTTCTAAAATAGGAAAAAAAGGAAGCACTGTGGGAGAAATTATGATTAAAAATAGAGTGTTTGCCCCTTCGGTACAAAATACAGGTAAAAATAAAATTCAACACTTCCAGTTTTTCTGCATCTCTGGCTGACAGAGATGTCACTTGTCTTGCTGCTAAAACAAAGGCAACTTCCACATTTTTTTTTAGTTCACTTCATTAAATTCCATGGTTCATAATAGAATTAAATTTGTCCCTAAAAACTGGTTCGTCCTGAGAAATCTGCTGTAACTAATAATGCATTTATTGTCACGTTACTTGTCTTAAAATGTAAATGAGATTGGGGGATTTCATTGTGAAACTTTTTCCAATGAAAAGTGGGCTTGGACCAAACAAGGATTTTTAATTAATAATAATAATAATAACAACAACAACAACAATAATAATAATATCACAATGAGATTGCACTTTTTATAGTTTTTCAGAAGGAAAAAGGGAAGATAACTTTCTTGCAATAAAATATCTGTTTCTTTACAAATATATTTGATCTTAATTTTGAAAATTGAATGTTGTTTTTTTCCTGTAGAGATCTTCAATAATAGTGGTTTTTTTCTTTTCCTTTTATTTCTAAAGCATGCCTGTTAGAAACTTTATAAGTCCCATTAAATGGGTATTATTCCTTCTAATGCTTTGAGGAGAATACTACTGCTGGCTCTTTTGTTTCATTAATTCCCCATAGAAACACAGGTTGTACCCAATTTAGGATCATGAAAGACACAGGGATTAGAAACCTATTTAGTCTGACTAAATCCTTTGGAAATTTAAAATGGAAAATATTATCACCATTTGAGTGTTAAATCTACCAAATTTTTGTCTAACCAGTTAATTATTTGCTTGAGAGGATCCCTAAATATTCTTGTGAAAGCAGGGAGCTTTGGTAATGACGCAATCTCCAAACTGGAAAGGCAAGCACACATTGTCATCCAGTGTGGGGGAAAATGCAAAGCAGCTGAGGAACTTCGAAGGGTTTTTTTGTTAGGAAAGTTTGCTGAGAGGACAGGTACCTCTGTGTAATCAGAAGGAACAGCTCAGGGAGAGGGAATTAAGGAAAACTCAAGGGAAGTGATCAAGTACAACCCCTTTGTATAAAAAATGTGTCTAAAGACTAGGCAAAAAGTGTCTCCAGAAAAAGTGTAAGGGAAGAGAGAAGGGAGTGCGTTGTGAGCCGACTCACGGCCAAATGGCAGGGGAGCGGCAAGCAGATAAACTCTGGCGGTTCGCTTCCTCCTGCCTCTAAAGCAGCAGGACTGGGTTGCATCCCACTGTAGTTACTAGTGTTTGTCCAAAGGCCTCCATCATCCAAATGTTTCATTTCCTGACAGCAAGAACCTGCCAGACTCCGGTGTTTTGGACTGGCTGCTGAGGCTGGGAAGGAATGTTATTTTTTAATGGGAGCATTAAACAGTGTGGTGGGGGGAGGTGATAACTTTGCAGGATAAAGTAGGAAAGGGTAGATCCTTTCTCCTAAAAAAAACATCTGTGCTGCCAGGTGTAAATAGAATGGATAAATTCTCTGCTTAGTGGGAGACATCTGACTTTGTAAGATGCCCTCCATGACTCCTCAGTCAGCAAAAAAAAATTATGTAAAATATGATAGCAAGGAGTCCCAGGGAGCCCAGGATTGAGAAGCAACCACTCAAATATCCTTAAAAGTGTTAAAGTTGCCTGGCACTACTGTGGTTTTAGATGATCTTCTAGATTTTTTTTTTTAAGTGACTGTTTTCTTCTATCTAAAATGGGGTGTTAGTAGCTATTTTTAATTTACTATGGCTACCTTGACTTGTGAGGTGAGGGTCAAGCAGACTGAAGGAAGGATCTTCTTTGGCCAGATGGTGAAGGGCATGGGTGCAGAAGCCAAAGGACAGAAGAAAGAGCAGAAGGATACGTGATCAATTAAAATAAGAAGTGTGAGGACATCTTGCCACAGTTATTTACCTCTCTCTCACAGCAAATCTTCCAGTCACCTCTGCAGGACACATGATGTCTAAAAGCTGTGAAGTAAAAGTAATTATCCTATCCAACTTTTTATAGAAGTCAGTTTGAAGTATTTTCTGTTCAAAATTAAATTAGAGGCAGGCTTTTCAAAACAGCTGAACTGCTGAACGTCTCAGTATGATGTTGCCACACACATGCATGTGTTTTCAGCATGCAGCTGGCATTATTCCCAGCCCTCCTGAAACCAATGGCCTACTTCTGGGTATTTTTTCCCTTCAAAATCCCACCTTGATTCGCTGCAGTGTTTTGAATTTCCAATTAATACAACAAGCTTTGACAGGTGTAACATCCTTCTTACATATCTTTCATCAGAATGTGATATGGGACTAGCAGGAGACGTGTAAGGGAGGGGGGAGGAAAGTAAGGGAATACAGCACTATCTTCTCTGTATGTGCTTTTCAGCATTATGTATTGTGTGGTTCTGTGTTTAAATATCAATCTGCATGCTCAGAAATATAGACTGACAGAAATATGTATCTTGCAACTCTTTTTCTTCCCTCTCCACTTCTGGGATGATAGAAGGATTTCAGGTGTGTGAAGGCCTCCTTGAGAAAACAAAACAAAGTACCAGGGTATAGTTTTTGAAATGGAAATGCACTCTACAGCAGGTAGAAACCCAAATTCCTTTGCTCTGCAGTTTCCAACACAGGAAAACAAAGGTCTGGATTCAGGGTGTCCTTGTGTGCTAGCATAGCAGGAGTTTGACGTATTTCAAGATTACAATTTTGGTTTTAATTTTTTTTTTTAAAATTCCTATATGTTTTCCTCTCTCTGTTAGGCAGACGATGGTTCTTTCAGGGCTATGGAGGGTCATCGGTATTCCTGGAAATGGATTCACGGGGGCAGAATAAAAATGGGATGTATCTCTCTCTTTCCCTACTAGTGCTGCCTGAGACAAAATACATGTGCTCCTGATCACGAGACAGGAGAGGTATCACACTGCTATGCAGCTAAAACCTCCACACTGGGGCCACATCTGGCCCAGTTTGTGAATTGCTCATATTTTAAAGAAAATAATTTTTTTTATTTTTTAGATACATCACTGCAGATGCGAAAAGCTGGATTATGTCTGGATTTTTGCGGTAGGATTTCCTCTCTGCTCCTTTGTTGAGACAGAGTAGAAATATCCTCTTTTTTGTCTTCCCACTCTGCCCCAGATCTCAGACTAAGTAGGTACTTAACAGAAGCAACTAATGTTTAACTGCTAATGAGTTCTGTTGACCAAAGAGATTATTAAACAAAACACATCTTACTTGATAATAGTTTTTAAATAAAAACACAGTGTATGACAATCTTCCATGTTTCTGAAATATTTGTGAAATTTCAGGAAAAAAATGTGAAAAGCCAGTATATATTCAATTTTTTAACTTACCGAGGCTGAACCAGAAGGACAAGGAGAGTGCAGGAAAGGAAGAATACTTACTCTTTCCTTACAATCCAAAAGTCACCACTGATAGAGGTAATTACTGGGAGAGTCTTTTCTGCCTTCTCCATGAGTAAAGATAGTAAAATCAGGCATTAGTCCTTGAGAGGATGCTAGTGAGGAATAAGAATTGATGTTTGGATTGAGATCTCTATAAATGGCAGTTTGCCATTACATGATGTGCATTGTTTAAAATTTTGTATATGTCTCCAGAGGCTGCAAGAATTTGACATTACTTGTAGTAATGAGTGAGCTTTCCAAAGTAGATTATATGAAGTACAATATTTCAGGCTAATTTTGAGCACTATGTTTACTTTGGAAACTCTTTAAATCCACTCTAAAATGGTTGAACTAGATCTGTCTGATGAAGCATTTTAGGCTTTCTGAAACAGAATTACATGAGAACTTGCTTTTACAAAAAGTCAACAAAAATATTTTGCCCTTCACAGATGCTTTTACTCAACACCTTCTTTCAGGAGAAATCATCCCAGGAAGTCAGCATCACTTTTTAAGTGAGATCCTCAGAAAAAAAGAGTATTTCTGGTTACAGTGTTACACTGCCAACAATGACTGATGGCTCAATAGGTCACTGAACCAGGGACTCCAGATGAAGGCACTGGGACTGCTGAACTTCCCTGGCAGCTTAGAAGAATTGTTCCTTTCCATTTCCAGGTTGCATAACTCTTTCCTTTTTTTCTTTTCTACCTCTTCTACCCTTAACTCAATAAAGGTTAAGCGAGTCCCTTACTGAAAATGATAGGAAATGAAAAAAAGTTAATAATGTAGCTCGGCTTTTGACTTTTCCAAATTGCTTCCTTTTTTCTAGGATGCACCTACTATACCTGATCTCAGCTCATAGGCTCTGTTGGCACTGTGAGGTGGGTAAGAGCACTGCATGGAGGTGGAAAGGAGCCCTGCATTGATGTGCCTGTTGCTCTGGGTGGTGATCAGGATTGCACAGCAGAGGGGTAGAGCCCAGGGCAGCTGGTTCTGCACACCAGGAACAAGGGATGCAGGCAAAGCCTGTATACATAAAACCCACCTGGTGCCTCCTGGCTGTCAGGCAGGCTTTTGTGAGTGCTGACAGCCTGTCCCCTCATGAGCATCAAATTAATTCAAGCACTAAAATAAATCTCAAATTGAGCCATGGCTGATAAAGAACACACAACATGTCCTTGTTACCTTCTGTGTGTGTCTGACTCCTGTCTCTGTTGGAAGGCCTCCTTAACCAGCTCTCTGTGAGCAAATAGATGAGAAGCTAATCTAGCAGACTTCTTTACTTCTGGTATCTCAACCACTCTAGGTTGTGACACATGGAGCCTCCCAATGGTGGGATTTACATAACAATTTAATTTTAAAGAAAGAGGACATTTACATTTCGGGCAGTTGTGTAATTAGTGTAGTTCCTTAGCAGACCCACCACTGTTCCTTATGCTTCTTATAGAGAAAGTTAGAAATGACAGGCAGGTTTTAGCAGACAGTGGTTTTTCAGGGTGGAAGTCAAAGACTTTGCTGGAGTAGACAAAAGCTCATCCAAAATAAGACTTTAGCTTCATTCTCTGCCTTTAATCTTATGTGGCCTTTGATTCCCTCACATACAACTTGGATGCGCCCTAAAGATGAGCCCAAGGAGCAAGGATATAAATGGGGAACGTGATCAGTGGACTCTTATTTGTGAATTGGCTGCATATTGAACGTACTGATGGGCAGTTCTGTTTGAAGTTGTATTAATTCTATTTTCATCTCAAAGCTTTATGCCTTTATAGCATTAATATAATAAATACAAATACTTCAGAAAAATTGCAGAAAACATTGAGAGAAGAGAAGGAAAGGCCTTGCATATTTTAAAATTTCTTCTAACTTTTTTCTCTTCTTTATACCAGCACTTTTTCAGGTGTGCTGGACAGGGTGGGAAATATCTACAACTTAAACCTTGTAGGAGGATAAGGGAGGAATGAGAATAGAAGCAATAAGGCAGAAAAAGCATCTACTCAAAATCTGAGAAATTACCTAAATTACGAGAGCTACACCTTTGCTTTCAGCCTGCAGTGGATTTACCTTCTCTGAAGTCAGGGCAGTGAGTCCTGACAAGCACCAAGCCCCATGGAGAAGAGTAGACATTTTATGCTTCAGAAACCTGCGACCATGGACATGACGTACACTGAATACTTAGTTCCCTAGTGCTCACTCCAGACTGACTGATGATGAGGTGCTTTGCTGGCCTGGAATGACCACAGATAACAAACAAATACACCTGCATTCAATCCATTTCAATCCATTTGGTCCTGAGAAATTCTTTTGGGGAGGCTAATGAGAAAACAGAGAAGTGTCTTTGTGTGTAAGTGCTTTTGTCATATCTCAAGTTGACAAACTCCCCTTTATTTACACCCAAGTCATGGTTCAGACTATCCCAAACTATCCTTGCCATCTGATTCCATTGAAAGAATTATAGGATGGAGCATAAAGTTTGGCTACAGATGAGCCAGGTTTCTCTCTGCTGTTCCTGCTTTTATGTTTTTTTCTTCACCCTTTTTTTTTTTAATTGAATTCTATGGTGAGATTGTGTGCCTCTCTGCCTCTTTAATCTTCCACTTTGAATTCATTTACAATGTGATAGATTGAGTTTGTGTTTCAGGATGTGTCAGTGGGACCATGGTAATGCATCTCAAATGGTGAAAGTCTGCATCTTAATTGATTACCCATGTTCCTCCTTGGCCACATCCTCTGCAACAAATTCGGCATAATGGGGCACAAGGAGAAGGGGCCAGGGAGGGGGAAGAAAAGGGAAAAGGCACTGAAGAGTTTTAAAAGGATTTGTGTTAATTCCTTCAGGACGTCCCTATGTGATGTTTCTTAGTCAATAGGAGATTAGATTGAAGAGAGGATAGCCGCTGTTAATCCTCTTCTATCCATTCCCACAATGGGTATTAATATAGGAACAAAACACACACAAAGTTGCAGAGGACTTTTTTGTTGTTTTTGTTCTTTTTCCTTTCACCGCTCCTCAAGGAGAGCACTGAAGATCAGAGTCTTCAGTCTCATTTTTACCAGGAAGGTATTAGTCAAGGAGGAATGTCACACGAATTCTGGAATATTATTATCTCAGATTCCCTCTGCAGTTGCCGACCTTTTGGCCCAGAGCTGTAACCATAACCAGGCAGAATAAGACTTTCTTCTTCCAGCAAGGTTGGAGGTAAAGGGCAGTGATTTAGGGTCTATGTTTCCTTTAAAAGAAGTCATGCAATTCAAATTTTGTCACTATCATGAATCTTCAGGGTTTCTTATAACATTTGTTTAGGAAGAAATCTCCTTTGCATTCACTCAGAGTCAGCGTGAATACGAAGGAATCTTTCTGGTCGGCCAGAGCCAGCTGTGCTGTGAGCCATTGCAATTCCTGTTTGTCCATCTGGCTCGTTCTCTTTATTAATGTGTATCAGGCTTATTTACATGCTAGAAAGAAGGGGAAGCACTGGTGATTAATAACTTGCTCCCTCCTCATGCTCTAGTCGCACAATTATAAGTATCTTCATGTCTTGCTTGAAATTACCTTAGAGACCTCCTGTATTCTTGCTGTCTTATGCATCTTCCCCAGAGCAAGAATATATGTTCTAAAATAGGTCACCGTGCACATCTTTTCTTAGATAGCAAACTGGCAGTGAAGAGGGGAGCAAGTGAAGAGGACTGAACTGTAGAGAAAGAAGAGTCTTTTTTTTTGTTCTTCCATCTCCTATTTTTTTTCCTATTGATAAAAGAAAAAAAAGAAAGAGAAATTCATGAAAAATTAATGCAAGATGCAAGCCTGATCTTTAAATAGTCTCTGCTTAAATATGGACATCCTGACTCTTGATGGCAAGTTCCTTATGTTCTGCCAGTATTAACCTTTGAGGAAGACTGAGGTTATAATAATAAGCATTTCTACAGTAACTTCTATCTTAAGATACTGAAGTGATTCACTAGCACTGGTCTAACCTTGGAATAACCTTCTGAATCAGTTAGTTATTAGTTCTACTCTTATACATACAGAAATGCAGTGTTGCAGAGCATTGAAGCAACTTTTCCAAAGTTGTTCATAGCCTGTGGCATAACTCAGGACCAAGGCACAGGTCTCTAGGCTCCAAAATTGGTGCTTTGAGCACAGGGCCACATTCCTTAAAACAGCCCACTGCCAAATAAAGTGACAAGTGGGACTTTATTTCTCATTTCCAGTCAGCATTGTAGCAGCGGAGAGCCTCTGCTTCCTTTGCTTTTGGTCAAGCCTTTTCCCTGCAGGGAAATAAATAATCCATCTGCTGTTTCTGTCTGACATATCATCTAACATGCACAGCTCAGACATCTAAAACACAGGTGACCAGAAATAGAATCTGTTTTAATACATAATTGTCCAATTTCTTTCAGGATTCTGGAAAAAAAATATTCCCTATGACACACAGGAACTTTAAGTAGGTTTCATAGGCACCACCTGTCATTTTCAAGCAGAAGATTGATAATGCTTTTTGCATTATCCAACTTTTTCCACAGTCTCTCTCCTTTCCTGTTCTCTCCTCAAATATGTTTTTATTCTTTACCCCAGTATCTGACTTTGACGAGCTTTCTGTCAATCTCCAGACCAACCTGTCCAACATGGTATGTCAACTACCAGCAAAGCATGGATATGCCCTTCTTCCAGTGAGGCATGTAAAGAGTAGAGCATCTCAGGAGTTGTCCAGCCCACTAGTCCTAGCCCTCCTCTGCTCTGCTCTGTAGGAGGGGCTTTGGTGTGGGAAGGGAGTGTGGATAGCCTCAACACACTGACCTCTGCAGGGTGGGCTCCTGATGTTCCTTTGGTTGCTTGCAACTTTAGCTGAACTCCCTGGTTAGCTCAAACATATAATAAGAATCCCTCCCGTGCAATAAACTACAGTGGTTTTATTGCTTTTATTCCCTGGTACATCTGTGTGAACCACAGTTGGGCAATTCTTCATGAAAGTACCAGCCAAGCCTTGAAACCCAAGCCTGTTTTGCTGTAGGCAGTGGTGTGTTTTCAGAGACTAGGCAGCAAAGGCATGTTGTCTATAAAGAAGCGGAAAAACAGTCACAACCCCAAATAACATCCTGACCGAAAGTAAGTGAAGGCCAAGTCTTCCACTTTCTTTGGCATCTTGTCTTGACAGAGTTCATGGCACCCAAAGCAGCCTTCCCAATGGTCCCAGAGCTCTAGGAAACATCAGTAGACTGGACTTACTGTAATTATTTGGGGCTGTTCTAGCATATATGCTCAACTCTCATTTCTTCCCTTTGCCATGTCAGACCTTTTATCTCCTTCTTGTTTAATCAGATATAGTTACCTTTATGCTCCTCGGAGCTCAGATATATTTCCTTTCAGGTGCAGCTTTAGTGAACAATAAATTTTACTTCAGTCACCCATAACACTTTAAACCAATTTAAGCTCCCTCTTCCCTAAATTCAGGGGCTACTCAAGGAAAAAATCTCCCCCCTGTCCCCCTCCCTCCCAAACCAAGGTCTCTTGCACACTGATTGATTCACCATTGCATCTCACATCCCAGCTGGAGCTGAAAGGCTCCACCTGCTGCTATTACTCAGCAGTAATTGCATTGCACTTTTGCACAGTCTTCAAGCATTCATCATCAGGATGACTCAATAAGGCAGTCCTGCACTGATGAAAGGCCTTAGAGCCTCCATCTCTCTTGCATGTGCAATAGCCATCTTCAGGATAAACTCTGGTGTGTGGTTGAGGGGATGGGAAAATGTGTTTTATGATGAATAACTCACCAAAATTTCTCCTTTCCTCCCTGTTCTCAGGCTGTCTTGAGAACCAATCCTCGCAGTCATACATTACTCCCTGAATATTTTCTGTGAGCGATGTTCCATGTGTGGCTTA